TTACTCTGTGCGGCTATAAACGACGGTTAAATGGAATGATGAATTGTTGAAGGATTTTGAAAACGGAAAAAATGATAGTAATGCCGGCCCAGCATCCTCAACGTTGAAAATGCCCCGGTCCGAAGTGGTTAAATCATGCATGCGGCGAGCTCGCGGCGCGGATCAGAAACCAGCCCCGCCGGCCCCACACTAGCGATAGCGGCTTCACTTCTTGTTACTTTTCTTGTTTAATATTTTTAAAATGTTGAAGTCACCAACCGATCTAGGCCAAATGTAGAACATCTTAGGAGCTAAAATGGCAAGTACGGACTTGACGACAGTGGGTTTTTGTTTATTTTCCCCTTGATTCTGTAAAAATTGTTTCTCCACCCAATTTTTGGCCAGAGCCATAACCAACCACCATGCTACACCATACCTGTGTGTTGTTTCATAATTTAGCCTTCGTGTACAGATATCAGTGGATATTAAAACTGTACACCATGGTATAATGGTACTGAATTAGGCCCATTTATTTTTTTGCTGGTCAATTTCATCATAATGCTACTCAAATGGCACTATGATTAGCAAATTTGTTAATCAACTCTATTTTCTTATTTCCATCGCTGAATACATACTTGCATTCGGGCAGCCTTCCCTCGCAGTCAAAGCCATCATAGATGCACTCCCTGTTGTTGCAGATCTCATCACACTCCCCGTTACCATAAAGCTCCCAGCATCTGGTGGTGCTGACGGTGCAGTTGATCCAAGGGTCGATGCCGTAGGTGCAATCCATGCCATCCCAGTCGCAGCCGCGATTATTGCACTCCGCCTGGAGAGGATGGTATGGAGGGGGGGGGAGACCAGGAGTTTTAGCAGAGTCTTGGAACTCACCATGCTCCTGCTCCTTTATTGAAAGCACCCCTTTCTTTCCCTCAGAGATTGTTGGGAAGCCTGGCATTCCCTGAATTTTCATCGATTGACAAACAGCAAGCAGCTTACTGCTGCATGCAAATTCTTTAACTGTTTTAATCTAATTTTGCGGCACACATTCTAAACTGCAAAAATGTACAAATTCGCAATTTTGGTAAGAACTTACAATTTCTGATTTCATTAACCATGTGCAAGAAACCAAGCTAAACACACACAAAGTGCATGATCAAAGTGCTCAAGTGATCAAAGTGAAATGTTGCTCTTCAACAAACAATCAGTAACTGTTATGAAATTCGTTCAAGTTTGCTGACAGGCTTTTGGCATCAGCTCTTCAAAAACTTTAGATACGGAGTTCCTCAACATATGCCTGCTGATAAATATACAATTTTTGTAAACAACTTTTTTTTTACAACTCACTTCGCAGATATTATTGCCTTTCCTTGGTATGCACGCAGCTGGGCAGAAGTCATTGCCGGTGGCCGTGGTTGGCTCGGGATTGGTGGTGCTCTCCCTCGGTGTGGCAGTCGATGGGATCGGTGGCCAATGGGTTTTCTCGGTTGACTCAACATCCGGTGGGCCCACAGTAGAGGACGCCGGCACAGGCTCTGCCCCGATACCACCCGGAAAGTTGGGGTCGTAGACTTGGCAGCGCTGTCCATTCCAGTAGGGTGGGCACCGGCAGGCAAAGCTGTTCAACTGAGCCAGGCACTCGCCACCGTGGGTACAGGGCGCAGCACGGCAGGGGTCATGCACCTCACAGTTGATGCCAAACATGTCAGGCGGACAGTCGCAAACGTAACCAAGGCGATTGGTCTCGTCCAGCTGACAGGTGCCCAAATTCAGACATGGATTGGCGTCACACACAGTCACCACTTCCGTGCAGGTGTCTCCTTTGAAGTCCTGAATAGCATATCAAATAAAATCCATATGTATTAAGACCACCTGTACATCATGTGCTCAACCTCTTCCACATACTTTTTCTATCTCCTTGTCCATTCTCACTCAAATAATACTCAATGGAATTGCAGTGTTCTAGTGTACTCTTCCCAACTTACACTGACAAACACTGGTTTACAACACAGCTAGGCCATTACGGCATGCAAGAAGTTCTGTCTGTACTTCACAAAACACAACGCCCAACCTGAGAGTCAGTAACACTTGCGCATGTCGGGCAGATTTGGATGGGCACTGAAATATGCCATACGGCGGAGTGTTACCTGTACACACTGGCACTGGAATCCACCCCTTGTCAGCCTACACGTGCCTCCATTCTGGCATGGGTTTGAATCACAGTAGTGCACCTGTACATCGCACAGCCGCCCTGTCAAACGACACAACCATAATCTCAATGATGTGAGTGCCTTCACAATTTCAGCAGACTGGGGAGTTGTTTTTTTTTTTTTTTTCAAAATAGGCATGGACAGTTTCCAGACCTGCAATTTACCTTCATATCCTAAGTGACAGATGCATTCAAAGTCATTGACCTCCTGGACGCAGCCTGAGCTGCCCTCAGCATCACAGGGCATGCTTAGGCACTCGTTGATGTCCCCCTCACAGCGCTGCCCCACGTAGCCTGGCGGGCAGTCGCAGGTGAAGGTGCCGATCAGGTCCTGGCAGGTGCCATCATGGAAGCACGCCCCCGAAAAGCAGTCGTTCAGGTTGATCTCACAGTTGATACCTATTGAAAACAATGGCACCAAGACAAATCAGAAGAGGGAAAATGCTATGACCAAGCCCAGAGGGGCATTTTAGGGAAGCCTCTCAATTGCTGACTAACAAAGAGATGCTCATTTCAAGCACGAATCAAACAACTACAAACAGGAGGCCAAACGTTTTGCCGATCTCACCGATATACGGTGTGCCATACACCAACAGTTTCCACAGGCCTAAAATCACACATCTGCACATCTTGAGGTGTGAACATTGGAGGGACTCCATTTAAAGGACCTGGACAAAAGTCAGGGGTCACTGCCTCACCTTCAGTCCCTGACTTGCAGGAACAGCTGTAAGAGTTGACCAGGTCATGGCAGACGCCGCCGTGCATGCATGGCAAACTGGCGCACTCGTCCACGTTGTGCTCACAGTTGTGTCCCTCAAAGCCTGGCACACAGGAACAGCTGGAAAGCATCGACAAGAAGACTGAAGAAGGTGGTACTCTCGTGGGGTGCCAGCAATGCACTGGGAACAGCTGAACTAACACCCCTTACCCAAACTTTGAAATCAATTAGAGCCCAGGTGTGCAGGTAGAGGGGAGGATGAACGCCCACAGCTACGCGAGACTTCCTACAACACTTTTCAATTTCTAATCAAACAAGTTGATAAAGAACTGGAAAATCAGTTGACCTGAGGCAAAATTTCCCCCCTGTTCACCAGAACAAAAAAGGCACAAACACATTTTTGTGTTGGTCATCTTTTACAGAGCTGACTTTGAGGCACTGGGGGGGGGGGTTTGTGCCTACCTGTACTCGTTGATCCCGTCATGGCAGGTTCCCCCGTTCAGGCAGGGCGCAGAGGCGCACTCCCAGATGTTGGTCTCGCAGTAGCTTCCCTGATAGCCTGGCAGGCACTGGCATGTGTGGCTGTTGCCCCGGGTCTGGCAGCTGCCACCGTGAAGGCACAGGTTGTCCACAGTTACACCTAGGAAGAGGGGCAAACGACACATTAAGAGATGAGACAAAGTCACTGTGCTCAATCACAAAGCAATTATTGAATGCCGCCTTTTTTGGGCAGAATCTGTCGTGAATCATGATGCCCAGCCAAACAATTTTTTCCTGTGTAAAAGATGGATCTAGTTTCCATTTAATCTCAAATGTTAAAAAACTACAGCGCAGACAAATCTGCGATGTGTGGGATTAGTTATAAATGGAAGATAAACAAAACCAAGAGCATGTTATTGATAGGTAATTTGATCCCAAAATAGGTTATTTCTAGAGTTCACAGTTGACTGCATCAATAAGTGGAAATCATAACAAGAACGAAAAAACATCAAACTGAGAACATTCACTGGTACAACAAAATCAAGGCATGGAACTAAGGAACATGGAACCATTGGAAATGCGTGAAGACGCATAGACAATAGCCGTAGCTCTGGACACAGCCTGAGTATTGGCAAATTATTCATTTACAAACAGACGCCTGGTTGCCTACCTTTTTCTGCAGCAGCAACCTCACAGGACACTTGGTGGACATCGCACAGGAAACCGGCCCATGCCCCCTCGCAGGTACAGGCATATCTGTTGCCCGTCTGGGTGCAGGTGGCCCCATTGGAGCAAGGGTTATTGTCCGCGCTGCACCAGTCAACCAGATCCTGCGTGGGAAAAGCCACCAAGGACAAACATACATGGGAGTTTGTTTTTTTTTTTTCATTTAATCTAAGCAATGGAGCAGTGAAGCATGACACCATGAATACGAGAGGATAGCAACACGTGTATTTCTGCGGGTAAATCCAGGTTGGCAGGTCTGGCTGTGTTGCGTGGGAAGTTCTGCAGAGCAGGGTTATACAATCGACAGGTGGTGACTCAACCAGGGTCAACCTTCCATGTGAAAAGTGAGTCCCAAATCAACGTCTCTGACATAGTACATTAACAGAGATTGGGGAAGATGGTAAGTTTACAACAATTTGGATTCTACCGTTTCTGAATTTTCAGACCAGAAAACATCACAAATTAAAGGTGGAAAGACTTTCCTTTTATACACTTTGCTTCACCTAAGACAACTGAGTCTTCTCGACTGTATTTCTGCACGAGGTCTTTCAAACGTTTTGGGCCAAAAATCACAAAGGGCATATGAAAAAGAAGTTAATTTAGAAGTAAGGGGAACAGAAACAGTATCCACGGTTTTTGCAAGGATTACCCCTCTGATTCAAACAAAACAAAAACATAAGTTGATTTCAAATATGATCTTAGTGCAGTATTCACTTAACATTAAAAGCACAAATATCATGTAACATTTTCTTTTGTCAAAATGTTCACACGGGTCAAAAACAGGTGCTCTTCTGCAACAACAGGCCAAGCAGCCAGGAGATGCAAAGCTGTGCAGCTGTTTCCCATTAAACAAGTACTTAACAAAGTTGGGAGCATTTATCACACTCACATAAAAAAGCTGACTCTGAAAAAAGTGATAGATGCCAGCACTGCCACGGTCTGCTGGAGGCAGGACAAAAGATCCATTCACAGATCAATTCATGGATCCGGATGAGCACAAGGCACTTAACAGCTCCCAACATTTTATCTTTTGCCTGTTGTTGTTGGTTTCCCAAGTCTTCATGTATTTTTAACCACCAGCTTCGCGTTGAGAAGCTTTGTGTTGACTCTACTCAACCGTTTTAAACGACTGTAGGAAAGCAAACTCTTTATATCTTTATATGTCAGGCTAGAATTTCATTTATTGTAGTTCTTGATCCAGCAAGCTCAATGGGCTCGCAACAAATACAAGGAACATTTGATGAGTGTTCTGGCCAGGATGAAATTAAAGGATAGGGGCATCTGCCCGACTTGCCGGATGCGGGGGGGGGGGGAACTGGATACTATTTGACACCGAGGGCAATGTTTAACATTTATGACATTAAATGTAACAGCTTTGTTTTAAGTTTCCATTACCCCCCATTCAGTCATTGTAAACAGCAAAATTATCGGTTTCAAACTGACTTCTACCCTTTTTCTCTACTTTTTTGGGGGGAGGGGCTTCGCTTCGTGTTTTTGTTGTGCTTTTGCTAAGGAAAGGGGCAAATGTTCAATAAACTATGGGATATCTGATCCACGTTTCATTACTGCACAATAGTATTTTACAGGTGCTTGTTCTTGTATGAGACGCTCCATGGTACAAAATTCTATTAATATGCATCAATGAAAAATAACTACAAAACAAGCTTAACAGGCCTACACGGTACACCTCAGTTTTCATTTCATTTGGAAAAACTTCAATCTGAATAGTTTCTTGGGGTTTTAACTCAACACGTGTGATGATTTTACGAATACAAAAACAGGCATGCCTACTTAAAAATTAACTTGATGCACCTAGACCCCAACCATTGTTTGTACTTTCTTGCTGGGTTTTAAATCTTTTGTCAAAAAGAATATAAGTTACCATCATTCGAAACTTATTCTAGGTATTGATATCACAAGGTTGGTTAGATGTTAGTGCCAAAAATATTTAAAAATTTGGTCTTAAAATAACGAACATGCACTACCAAAAAATAAATGATAATGATCAAGGATACCGAAAATATAAAGAAAAATGCTCTGTTTCACACTACAATGTGAAAACACCAAGTAAGGATACAAAAACACGACAAGTGGAAACTTGTGCACATGTACGACGGTGTACTCTGTCACGTTGTGGAAGTTTCGTTCAATTTCTGTGCATTCTGCCGATATTCTAGTGACTTTTTGTGGGTGTTTTTTTATTGCAATGTTTCTTAAATTTAATATTAGCATTCACAAGGAAGATAGAAGCGTATAGATTGCGTATCAGGGGGATTTTCAGTGTGTCAGGGTTTTTGCTGAGCGTATCGGCCCAATATGCTTTTGAATGCCTGGCTAGAACACTGGATACTGGTTGCTGCGCATGATGGTAGTAAGGTGCGCTGTGCTCATCAGCAAAGACGGACATTCAGAAGCACACACTTGTTCATGTGCAAATGGCACACCCTGAAGGAGCCGCATTTTTTCAGACCACCTCACGGCAGGGGAGGGGAGGAGGGATTCTACACCTTAATAACAACTCAGCTGTAACAAGCCTATTTCCTTCAAACCTTGACATGCGTGCAAAGACACACTTGTCATCAGTGCAAATTTGACGCTTGAAGTCAACCTCACTTATAGTTTTGTCCTTACAGTTATCTGAAGTTCAAGACCGAGCAATATGCCAGCCTACATGCACCAAGCAAGACAGTGAAAAAAGCATGTATTTTAACTGATATGTCTCAGAAAAATGGGTGGAGTGCAAGAATGCTATGTCCGTTTTTCAAGAACTACTGTCAAAATATTAACCCAAAAAACCCTGAAGGCTCGGCGCATGAAAAATAAATGCACAGCGGCGATATAAAAACAAATATTGCACGGCTCTGCCCCCCCCACTAGCTCTCTTAGGGTAACAGGAAACCAAACCTGTTGGGCCAAAAAAATGGGCATTGAAAGTGTCAGAAACACCTCTTTTTCTGTGGCCAGCAAGAGGAATACTTCAATGCATGCGTCCACACGCTGAAATTGGCCAGAAAAGCCATCTTTCCAGCTAGTCAAGCCAAGAAGAGCTCAGATCAACACCACGCAGAAACAGAGACCAACGTCAAACAAACCTCCGGCAAGATGCTCATACAAGACACTACCAACTCACCTGGCAGTTGTCTCCGAGGTAACCCAGTGCACAGTTGCAGGTGTAGTAGCCGGTGTGGTCCACACAGGTGGCCCCGTTCTGGCAAGGATTGGAGCTGCACTCATCCACTTGGTACTGGCAGTTGGGACCGGTGTGCCCCGGAGTGCACCGACAGGTGTATTCATTGACGCCATCAACGCATGTACCGCCATACAGGCAAGAACTGGGGGCAGGGAAGAGAGTTGGGGGAGGGGGGTCAACAAAAAAAATCTGGTCCAGGGAAAGAATTTCAGCCATTCAAACTGTTCAAACAAAGGAACGGTATGATGAGAAACACACGCTAAGGCTGGCCCCTCTTTAAGCAAATGTCCATATTTAATTTGAAATTTACAAATACAGGCCGATGGAGTGAAATCTGCTGACGTTACAAAAAGTTCATCTTTTCCGAAATGTAACAAGAATTCTTACTGAGACATCAGCATCCTGGAATTATCAACTGTGCGAACAACCAAATTTGATCATCCATCTAACAGACGGATGCTCAAATTGATGATCTCACACTCAACCCTTAAGTGATATCTTCATTCGGATGCAACATATTAACTGAAAGCCAATCAATACCATTGTAACAAGCCTAAAGCAGCAGTATCATTTTCTGCTGCAGAAAGCACAGCATTTCTGCTGAGCTTTAAGAAACTGTGCCCAGGGTAAAGACAAGATTGTATCAGGCATGCAACTTAGACGAAACAAAAAACGAGGAAACTCCAATATTTCCAACATTTTGTACAGTGTTTTTCAATTCCCAATGGGACCAGTGTGAAGTGTATGCCTGTTGTATATGCAAAGGGTTCTACGAGGCTGTTTTTGATTCTGAAGACATTCCTTGGTTTCAAGTCTGGTTCCTGTTTCCTGCCTGGCCAAAGGATGAGGCATTGGCTCGCCTCTCCCTCTCCACCCAGAGCTGTACATGGATGCTGGAATTAGCCCAAGAGCAGCCTGCCATTGACGGGCATTACTCCTGTGGGGAGGAGGGGACCCAGACATATTCTCACTCGTTTTATGCCAAGATAAACATCCGCCCTTGGCTGGGAACAGATAGGTGCTTCCCTCGTTTACCTTTCGGTGCAGTCCATGTCGTTGGTCTGGCAGTAAACGCCGCTGAAGCCTGACATGCAGGCGCAGGTGAAACTGGCCACGTAGTCATGGCAGGTGGCACCGTTCTGGCAGGGGTTGGACTCGCACTCGTTTGTGTCCGTCTCACAGTTCTTGCCCATGAAGCCCGGCAGGCAGGCGCACATGTAGTCGTTGGTCTTGTCAAAGCAGGCCGCTCCATTCTGGCAAGGCTCTGAACAATCCAATACAGTATCAAGAAATTTATTAAGACCATTTGACGTTTTCAATAGCAAGGATCTGCCACTACAGGTACCGGGACTTCAAAATCAGCCCTATACAAAGTAAACCACATTGTGAGAAGATGGTTAGAAATGAAAAGTCCAAGTCCTTTCTTAGGCATAAAAGAGCGGCAGCTCTTTCAAATTGTACCATTCCTCTTTTCTGGAAAGTGAAGCAATGACCAATCTGCTGAAAAAAAAGTGTTCTGTCTCTCCCACAAAGAACTGCATGGCCACTTAGCCTTTTTCGTAATGAGACCAACGCATTATCTTGTGCAGGTTACAAATGATTACAAAATGGGAGAGCCAATTCGGAGACTGTTTTCATAAACTCACCCGATGCGCATTCATCGATGTTTGTTATGCAGTCCTGACCCCCAAAACCCGGAGGGCAGATGCAGTCGTAGGAGCCAAATGTGTTGTTGCAGACAGCACCATTGTGGCAAGGTGGGTACTCACCGCATTCGTCAATGTCACGGTTGCAAAATTCACCTGGAAGCAGGAGATACAACACAAATTTATCATTGCCTTTCCCTACTCGTAGAAATATTGTCATCCGCTCTTCCAAGGTGGTTCTCAGAATGCTGCAAAAGAGTATGATTGGAAAGCAACATTTTTGAAATTACCTGTGTAGCCATTTGGACAGCGACAGGAGTAATCGTTGTAGTTTGGGAAAGGCTCACACGTGGCTCCATTCTCACACTGATGGTTTTCACAGGGTTCCAGCAGGTCATTACAAACCTCACCAGTGTATGGTGGGATGCAGACGCACTCAAAGGCATTCACGCCGTCGATGCAGGTGCCGTTGTTGCGGCAGGGGGACTGCACGCAGTCGTCAATATTGCCCTCGCAGTTGGTCCCCTCATAGCCCTCACGGCACTCGCAGGCATAGAAGTCCAGGTCGCTCGTGCAGCGGCCATCATGCTGGCACGGGTTTGAGGCACACTCATCAATGTCCACGTTACAAAGGCGCCCACTGTAGCCTGCCACACACTCGCAGATGTACTCATTGACGCCATCCTGGCACGTACCACCATTCTGGCACGGCGAGCTCTCGCACTCATTGATGCTGGACAAGCAGAAGGCGTCATGGTAGCCTGGCGGGCACGTGCAGATAAATCGATTGACATCATCATGGCAGGTCCCACCATTTGCACACGGGTTGGAATCACATTCATTTATGTTGACCTGGCAGTGCGTCCCTTCATATCCAGGCATGCATTCACACTCGTATCCATTAATTAGATCGTTACACTGTCCACCATGTTCGCAGGGGTTGGATGCACATTCATAAGTATTTATAGAACAAGTAGACCCTGCAAACGAATCAAACAAAGTACATTTACTGACAAATTCATCTAACACAATTACCTATGCCGGTTAGCTTCCTCTCACAAAACGTTAACTTCCAAAATTCAAAATTTATCTCAATAATAATTCATCAGAGGGGGGACACACTTTTTAAATAAGAAAGAGCATTGTTAGGGAGTGTTTCATAATTGTTGAAGGCGGTATTTACTGCGGTACCGCTGTTTTTTTAGCGGCACCGCACTAGTTAGCCGAAAGGGCTTAATGCTGGTACCGCAAAAATACAGCGGTACCGCAGTAAATACCGCCTTCTGTAATTATGACACGTTCCCATGCCCCAATATGATCGACTTTTTTTTCAGTGGAAGCTGCCTCTCGCAAGGCTTGGAAATGACTACCAACCGATTTAAGAGCAAAAGAGGAGCTATTCTGGACTTTAACAAGAACCTACTGGAGATCAAAGGGAAACGGGACACAGGGGTGAATATCAAAAGTGAGGTACAGGATTAGCCACCAGCTGGAAACTGGTTGACTTGTTTGAACGTGAAATTTTCAAGGGATGTTTCTGCTCCAACCACGGTGTCTCGCAGCATGATCTTACCAGTGGTGCCGGACACACAAATGCACTGGTAACCCGCCAGCTGGTCAACGCACGTCCCACCATTCTGGCAGGGCTCGTCCGAGCACTCATCAATCTCGTTCTCGCACAGCCGCCCATCATAGCCTGGGTTACAGTGGCAGACAAAGCCATCGAGGGCGTCCTCGCAGTGGCCGTAAAAGCAGGGGTCGTGCTGGCAATCGTCAAAGTCAGTCTCACAATTGAAGCCGGTGTAGCCTGCAGACAAAGGGAAGGATGTTAATAACAAACTTGGATGCATCCTCTGAATGAAGCGCATCACTCTTCAGGAATGGGTATTCAATTACAATTCAATTAAGACACATAAATGGTGTTCTATAACACTGTCTCTCAGGAGAACCAAACCCAAATTACAGGTTACAAAAAAACCTTTGTATCTTTCAATCACTATTCAGGGATGACTAAAATTTTGACTTGAAATCCCGAGATGTGAATCCGATTTTTAGTGGTATATGTGCAGGCTGCGAAAGACAGGGCAGGTTGGGGTAGGTTAACAGTGCAGTGGTGAAGCCAAATAATGCAAATGAAGGAAAAAATGCATCAGTGATCAAGTCTGCCACTTAAATTTAAAGAACCTACTCTGCAAAAGCTATTGCTCTGAACCAAAAGTAGGCAAAGCACACGCCATAGAAGATTTCTGCCGGTCACCTTTTGTTGATTCAGAGGGAATGCTCCGTGCTGAGAAAGTTTCACACCGCAAAACCAAGTCTTACCGCTTTGACAGGTGCACGTGTACTGGTTCACCCCATCATAGCACAGTCCGCCGTTTTGGCAGGGATCGGACGCACACTCATCCACATTCTGGTCACAGCGCGGCCCCATGAAGCCCTCCAGGCAGTTGCACCGATACCGGCCCACCTGGTCCAGGCAGACACCGTCATTCAGGCAGGGGTTGCTGTGACACTCGTTGAGGTCATTTTCACAGTATGTACCAGTGTAGCCTGACAGGTAAAGTCGGGGGGGGGGGAACAGAAGAGGGGAGGGGGAAGGGGAGAGGAAAAAACCACAGGATCTTCACAAAGGGTAACACGGCACTCTGCACCACCCCCTGTTAAATACACTGTTGGGAAGACATTGTTTGACAAAACTGGATTGGGATGTGGGGACTTCTAAATATGCCCATAGCATGTTTGGACCCCAAAATTATCAAAGTACATTTGCACACAACTCACAGCGAGACACACCACTGATTTCAAATTGTTGAAATTGCACGTTTATTTGAAGTTGCTGAGAGCAAAGACATTCCTTGTGTCTTTGCTGCAACGCCAAGGACAAGCCGTACATCATCAGTGATAAGTACAGCATTTTCACACTGCCCGCATTCATGAATACGATTGCCGAAGCAACTACCAAGTGTACTAAAACCCCTCATATTCTCAATATCCTAGATTTTCATGGATCCCTCCTTTTCAGAGAGTGTGGTTGCAGGGTTGCCTGTACATTCCTAGTTGAGGACTGTTCCCAGGTGATTTTATCCACAGGCACACATTCCTATGTACAGAAGCGCTCGGTGTTTCCAGGCTCTTCTGACTGGGAACAGGATTTGCTCCCAACTAAAACAAGCAGAAGTGCAGCAGAATTCTCTGAACGCTCTGGTTCATTCCCGAGACCCTTCCCAATGACTGAACTAGAAATGCGACTTCTTGACAAAGTTGCATTTATCAGTGACGCTGATATCTTCCACGATTTCCACGCATCTTTGGGGACAATCCACCACACAACAAAAAGGCATAAACACAGAGAAAAATCTGTCAACAGGTGCCCATCAGAGTTGTAAATCTTTTCGCAAGCCTAGTATCAAATCTATCTATCTAGTATCAAATACAGTCAAAAGCTACTCAAATAAATTCTGGCAATGACACTGCCTTCTTTCAACCACTTGTACACAGCGTTACTCCACAACGAGCTTACTGCTGGTGCGGTACTATTATATGCGGGAGATAGCCCACTTCTTAAAAGGACAATGTCAAAGAGTGATATCTGCTACCACATCCAGGCATGACATAAAGCTGCTTGAGAGCTTCACATGCACTCATTCTCCACGGAATAGATTGAGCCTGTGTGTGGGTGCGGGTGTGCGCGGGTGTGGGCACTGGCATAATGGGAACCACTCCAGCTTGGAGATGATTACAGTCGTGATCGGCTGCTGAATGCGGAACTGCATCAGCGTGTATACACGTTTCACCAGGTAAATGGAACAGAAAGATCCCTGTGCGTTTGCAAGTCGTCCCGCTTGAAATGGGTGAGGACTGCTTATTTCATGCCAAATGAGACCCAATATGTGATTGACTGGACAAGGGAAGAATTGAAAATTAAACACAGGGTAAAAAATGTTCCCCCCTGCCCCGAGGTAAAACTCCCCACAAAACCCCATTAAAAGCTCGAAGAAAACCTTGAGTGCCCCTCTCGTACAATCTCGCATTCTTCCCTTACACCTCTCATCTACATTCATTCTACATTCAGTTTTATGCATCTCAGTTTTTCTCACCTATGATGCAGACGCATCGGAACATCCCGGCCAGATTCAGGCAAGTGGCCCCGTTGACGCATGGATTTGATTCGCACTCGTTAACGTCGATCTCACAACGCATCCCTGTGTAACCGGGCGGGCAGTTACAACGGTAAGAGCCAAAAGTATTGACGCATTCATTGCCACGGTCAACCTCACATGGATCTGGGGGGAAAAGACAGGACAAACAATTATTGCTGACACCCGGAAAAACTCTTAACTTTTCTTTTTTGGGTGGAAACAGGTTCAAATTTACTCTTTCCAAGGAAAATATGGCTTTAGCTTTAATGTAGGAGTTTGATGCAATGCTATGTGTATTAGTAAGGGCATTCTAAAACCTGTGGTTAACTAGAGCTCCTATGGTATTACTCTACAACAAGGAATGCTATACACAAGAGGATTTACACTGAATTGCACCTGTGAGGTTCCACTGTGATCACGGTGAGAATTCCCATCATGAGGGTTCCCATGAAGCCAGTGTGAGATTTCTATGCAACCATGCAATATTTCGTAGCCATCTACAGATTACCATCAGACACTGCGAAGATCTCAACAGTTCCTCAAGAGGCGGGCCCAAAAAAGCATGGCACAAGACAATGTACCACTGACTCACCATACAGACACTCGTCTACGTCGATGGAGCAGTCACTGCCCATAAGACCCATGGGGCAATGGCAGACAGCGTCGCCCGTGCTGGGGTTGGTGTTGCAGGTAGCCGAGGCTGCACAGGGGTTACTGATGCAGGCATCCTCAAGGTGACAGAACAATCCTGCCAATTTAGAAAGAGTGACAATCATGAACTGAAATGTCTACAGCAAACAACAGAATCCAATGAAATAATGCACTGAGATAAAGTAAACTCTAGGAAGCATGACCTCTCCTTCACAAGTTCACACATCATTCCTACCAACAAATCTGTCTACAGCAGTGCCCTTGAAGAAAGCAGTATTATTCCTGACGTAAGTAGTCTAAGAACTAGAAACTATTACCCCAAAACACTCATTAAGCGCCATCTTAAAAAGTGCATTTGAAAAAGTGCATGCTCAACAGACAACTGCCCATCCTGCATTAATCTTTACAGCAACCTTCCTTAACCCTTTTGCTCTGGGAGACGTCAACAGCCACGGCTTTCGTGTAAAGATTATTGCAGAGCACACATGCACTCTATTCATAATGCACCTGCGGTTTCAATTGTGGGCCAGCGGCTGCTGGACAGGGCTTTGCATACTGGGCATACCGCAGCCCAGCAGTCGCAGTCAAAAAACTCCCAGCGTGAACGGGTTAATAAACGTTTCATTTCCCTGGCAGATGGCTTTGTTCATACTCAGTGCTACATGTCTTCACAACTCTCCTTCACTGAGGCCTGGCTCACAGATAGAACAATTGCCCTGCATGTGGGGAAAAAAAAGGACCCAAGGGGGGAACTTGACTAGTCTCACCGGTGAACCCAGGCGCGCAGATACACTTGAAGCTGGCCACCTCGTCCTGACACGTTGCGCCATGCTCGCATGGGTTGGTCTCGCAGGCGTTGCTATCTTGCTCGCAGTGCTCCCCTTCAAAGCCGTAGACGCACAGGCACCGGTAGCCACCGACACTGTTGCGGCAGGTGGCTCCGTTCCTACACAGATCTGGCTGCTGCGTGCACTCGTCAACATCCTCCGTGCAGTATTGGCCTGCAAGGGGGATCGCCAATCCCAAAGAGGTGGGGGGGACGTTAAACTGAATCCTGGTGCAGCATCCTATGATGCTGGAAAACGACTCAGATGGGACTACTAATGTGTCCGTGGCACAGTCAATTGATTTCATGATCTTTCCAGACCATCTTTTTAGCTATATCGCATTTGCATGACAGAGTGCAGTCATCCTCGACTGACTTACAGTCTTTACCGACACAATTCGTGGATTCTAATTACAGGAGGAGTCCCTAAATAGCAAACAGGCGAAAGAGGCTACAGATGCCTGGGTGAAACTGTTGCTTTGTGCCTGCCACTCACACGATTACATAGGATTGCCCATGCCATATCAGCACACGCTAGGTTGTGCATGCACCTTGGGCAAGTAACACCAAGGTCAAGGGTCTTACCTGTGTACTCTGGGGGGCAACTGCAGGTGTAGGAGTCAATTCCGTCTATACAGAACCCATCATTCTGGCACTGGTGGTAAATGCAATCATCAATATTGGTTTCGCACATGGTACCCGTGTAACCTGCCAAAAGTAAAGAACAGACAAATCAGTTCACCAAAATGTGATAACATCTGACGCATCCAAATCACCTTCATTCCAATTAATTTAATTAACCTGACTACTAGAGAGTGCTAAATCCTGAATATCTCTGACTCACTGAAAATACAGAATACATGTAAATATGCTGGGTATCATATGCTTTTTACACCACGAGTCAAGTAATATCATTCATGTGCAATTTATTAGAACTCCAAAATATAAATTTGATGGAAAGAATTTCAAGAAGTTCAAAAGCTGTCAGAGCACATGAAGTGCCAGCAAACCCATGAAAAATTTGTGAGGTATCATAATTTCAACTTATCCTGACAATAGCAAGAAGACAAGAACACCAAAAGACACCTACTTTTTCTTCACAAAATAAGGGACCCCAAATAGGGCAATCAAAAAGCCCATTTTGTGCTTGGAACATTGATGAACCTGCCACAATCTTCTAATGCACTTTATACAGGCAAATAGTGCCACACTCCAAATACCTAAGGACGTATCAGCGGATGTATCAGTTAAGTACAAGAATTTGGGTGTCCCCTTCCAAAGTTCTGCAAAACCCTGCAGAAATCTCCTGGTCAGTCTTGAAGAACCAAATAGGATAGCTTTGACGACATGAATTTTGCTACACGCAGTACCTCACAGCAAAATGAAAGAGAGAACTCATGACACTTCAGTTCACCTGAGGGGCAGATGCACTCGTGAGAGTACAGACCCGTCGGGTTGCACTCGCCCCCATTGTGGCACGGGTTGGGCCGGCATGGGGTGTAGATGGACTCGCAGCGCCGGCCTGTGTAGCCCTGCGGGCAGGTACAGATGAAAGAGCCGTTCACATTGGTGCAGGTGCCGCCGTTGTGGCAGGCCGTCACCTGAGCCGTGCACTCATCAATGTCAATGTTGCAGTGGGTGCCCCGGTAGAAGATGGTGCAGCTGCAGTTGTAGCCAGTGGCATGTGAGTTGCAGGTGGCGCCATTCTGACAGGGGTTGTCCACGCAGTGGTCAGTCATGGTACAGTTTCTTCCTACAAGGTGACAGGGAATTAGAAAGAATGCACCATTCAACATCAAAACAATTGGATGGGTAATACTTGATTTTGCAGACAACGCTGACTCATAATATACACTTGGAAACCATGCTATCGAAAAATTGCAGCACCAGTTTTTGCAGGAATTTCAGTTTTGCCAATTATGAATCATAAGCTTCCATCTCCTACTCTCCTCCCCTTGATGGTACCATATCCCTACCTCTTCCCAGATTTACCACTACGCCCCTCTTTCCCCCCTCAACACACCTGTGAAGCCCTGGCTGCAGGCGCAGGTGTAGTCATCCACAGAGCCCCGCAGGCTGCAGCGGCCGCCATTCTGGCAAGGCTGCTCATCCCGGCAGACATTAGGCAGTTCCAGTTCGCAAAGGGAGTTGGTCCAGCCCACGTCGCACTGGCAGTTAAAGGTGGGCTGGGAGCCGTCCGCCGGCATCACCACCAGACAGGTGGCCCGGTTCTGGCAGCGGTTGTGGCGGCAAGGGTTGTTAAACTGGCAGGTGTCGCCCACATGGGTGTCAGGACACCTATGAGCGGGAGAGAAACAAGACAGAGAAGAGACATGGGTGTAAGGCTGGAAAATATTGGGATTCTGTTTGAAATATACCACACTTACTGTATGGCGTCGCTGTCCAACTGCAGTGTTGGCAGACAAGAGGAGTATAGATACCTCTTTAACCGGCTTTCAGCAGATCAAAGAGCATGGACAAAATCTGGTCTTTTCATATGCACATCCATGTCCATTCCCTGGATTTTAGTTTACGTTCTGAAATCTTAACCCTCACACATGTATAACTTTGTTTCTACATTAATATCCGTCTTTCCTATCTTCTCACAACACATGCACCCTCAACGCTTGAGCCTGTCAACCAAATTGAATCTTGAGGTAATGCTCACGTGTCAGAGGGTATAAGCAAAAAGCAACAGTTAAATGTACAGGTACATGTACCACCCCTTTTTCTAAATTAAAGTAAATTAAAGATTGTGGCCTGATCGGGCAGAAATTATACGGTAAATGGATAAGCATGCCAAAAGTTCACAACTGCAATTTAAGGGACTCTTAAAGAATCTGTAAAATTTGAATCTGAGTCTCTTTAAGAACCTGTAACAACTACCAGCGTGAATAGCCCAAATTGTATGAGTTGTAGTGAAAATAGTTCAGATTATGAAACAGAAGGTCAAACATCTCAAGTCATAATCCCAGCTAATGCCTAACCACATATAAAATAATGCAGGTGCAGACAAAGGGAACAACCAAGGACCCATAGGGGGTTTTAACAAGATTCTACTATTCAAACCTAGGAAAGAACCCATGATGTAAATGGCTCAGGCAGAAACACTCCCAGCAAATCCGGTACCACAAAGCACAGGATCTCTGCACTGGGTCGCGTAACACCCTCCCCCCACGCGAATCTTGCTCGACTGTCCCCAAGGCACAATGAGGCTACGAGGTTTTTAGGGGGCCTAATCTGTCCATTATGGCCAAGCCTTTTGAAAGGAGGTTATTATCATCAAATCCAGAGATTCAACAGGCTTTAACAGCTCCGACTTTTGTAAGGTCTCGCCCTGATAATGAAGGCATATTGTTTGGAGAGACAGAGGAATTATATTCAAACATGGGAGGGTGAGGACTCTGCTCTTCCCACGCGCAGGGCCCAAATAGGGAAGACAGCTCCATGTGAGGGAATTACTGGCTAGCAATCTGTCATATTTTCAGAGGGTTTGTACCTCGCCCAGATAATGAATTGACAAATCAATTTTGCTGCTATCCTATGCTAACAACAGCAGTGGGATGTAACCAGACAACATCACCTTGCAGGTCATGCTTATTTGAAACTGTTTAATTATACTTGTCAGAAATAAATCTGTTCAAAAAGATTGCTAACTAGTCATTCTAACCCTATCTTTATAAACTTTGTTGAAATAAATAGGCAAAGATTTAACAAAAATGTATAGAGGAATAACTGGCTTTCACAGCTTTAGGATCAGGTAACTTTTTAATGGCCTCAAATAAGTGAAATGTGAGAATGCAAGTGTCTATTTGAACAAAATAATTAATTGCCGCAACCCTGTTTTGCAGACATATTGTGCTTCCAACTCCATGTATTTCAGGCCGAATGTGTTCCATCAAAATCATATTCCATTTTTCTTACTCCACCCCTCCATGGTCAGTGGGGGTGTAAACTCGGTATGTTCAGTATACAGTGCACTTTATTGTACAGTTTTGTAGAAAACATGACAATGAAGTTCTAGCTCAGTGAAAAAACAAAATATGACACGTACATGTACATTAAATGATATGACAGTTTTTACTGTCTTTCACACAAAGTTACTGCACAAGATTCATTCAAGGTTTATTTACTGTAACAGGGTTACATTTGACCATAAATGGACAGTGGATTACAGGTGGAATCACTCTGTTTTATAACTGTAAAGCACACAATCAGCAATGGTTGTCCTTCCAAAGGGCCCTGCCAACAGGTACACACAAGCAAACAAAACCCTGACCCATGGACCCTAATCGGTTTACCTCCCAAATAGCACATGCTGCACTATCCCCACCACGGACTAGTGAATAATGCATGAGCTCACCCAACCAATGAGTGAGAAGGGGTCGCGAGCTCAGGGAACAGGTGCGCATACTAAATGAGCTTGTTTACTGCCTGGCCATGGGCCCATGTAAACGTATGGATAAAACTTTTCTCCCTTTTGGAAGGGGGGGACTACAGTTACAGTTCAGAAATGTAGTTCCACTTTTGAGTATAATTGGGCATGCATGCGCAAGGACTCACATAATAAGCTCAAGGTAGAATGAACAAATACAAAGGCACTGCAACTTGTATTCAGAATGCGAGAATAGATACAAGTATGAACTGGTTTTTTTAGAGAAGAGGTAATCAAGGATTCACGATAAATATGCATGCACAATGTGAGGTATGTATTAACATGACATGTACACACATGATAAATGACCGCACACAGACAGGGACTAGTAAACAACTGGACCAAAATTGATAGCTAAACAATGAATTGCCCACACTTAGACTTTTGACAGTTACTGTTGCACCTTCTGTCAGGCTTCAAACACGTCTCTAAAACAGACCAAATGCGGAGCCTGCACAGCATTCTCAATGTATTGTAAGCAAGAACCCATCTCAACAATCACAGCCCCAAAACCCTAGTCAATAGAAAGCTTGATTTTCTCACCGAACAGTGAAAGGGGCTACATGTAGGCTACTAGAACTGAAGCAATTAAGCTACAAGAAAAGAGCCTGATTTTCAAATGCAAAATTTCAGCTGTGCGATATCAACTACACCACTGTTCCGTAACCCAATATCTCTCCCTGTCCTCAGTTTCCATGAATGATCCAGACACATGCAGTGATGAATTCTGCCCAACACAAAACCCACGCAGTTGACAAACTTCCATGGAGTTGCGTATCTGCAAATTGGTCAATCATTCTCAACCAATACTGTTAGACATGTAAACCGATGGGTTGGCAAAATGGGGCCTCGCCATCTTGCTTCCTCTGGTCCCACAATGGATATCCCCCCCCCCAGCTCCCCAATATGGCAGTTTTGAGTTACACTAAATCCAAAGTGTTATGAAAGAACAGGCCCTGTGCCAGGGGTCGAATGTGGGGTCTTGCTGGTTTCCTTTGAAATCCGACTCCTCCAAGAGTAAATTGACCAGGCCTGGCAGTGGGGGGGGGAGAGTGAAACTGGTCTATTCAGAAAGTAAGAGAACAAGGAAAAGGAGTTTGGTGTTAAAACCATGGAGGCACAGGAGGAAGCAGGAGTTGGTTTAAGTTGAAGGAATGTGGCATGCTTGCCTGATACTTGGTTTATGCTGCGTGATGTTTACAAATTTCTTTCATGTACGCACAGGAGAGATATGCACAATTCCAAATTCCAGACATATCTGGGGGCGAGATTGTTGATCATATTTTTAGATTTTATTGCGCTGGATCTTGACTGCACGACAATTTTGAAAACCTTGCCACTGTGGAAATTGATTCAAGACTGCCCCAGAGAAAATTGAGGTTTTACTTTTTTACTTTTCTAAACAAATGTTTGAACGGATGGCCTTCCCAGTGAATACAAAATGTACAGCTGTGAATGTACAAGGAAAAGCTTTGTATTTTTGAAACTGATAATTTACTTTGATGCATATTCATAAATCCTGAAACTATTTCAAAGAATCTGCTGCACTCCCTACTTTCATGTTTGCCTTTCTCCATAAATCAAAAATGAAAGACCACCACCCTCGATGTGGGGAGAGTACAGGACTTTTACAACAACAAAAAAATATTCTGGGCACAGTATTGATAAAGAAACACTTCCTGTTCCAAGTCACGCGAAATTACTCAGTTCAAGAGTTGGACTTCTCAATAACGGACTATCATTAATTTCAGAGACCTACGTGTATCTGCATGCACATGTATGTACTGGGTACATGTATGCAAGCAAGTGCTGTTTCCAACTGCAAGATTTCTCACATTACATGAAAAGTTTAGATGCAAAAGCTGACAATTTCCAAATTTTACACATCTTATCTTATTATCCTACTAAAACAGTCTCTTTGAATGAAAAATCTTCAAAGTGGTCTTTCAGATGGAATGGAGAGGCCCTATTTTACAAAAAGGCAATGGGCTCTACCTCTTTCTAAAGCAGATTTTCTCCATTGGTGAAAGGGGGGTTTCTATTTTTTGTAATCTAAACTCATTGTACTACTAGTATGTGAAAAGATTAAAGCATGTAAAGGGTGCAAACGTAGGTGAAAAAAATAAATAACTGGAAAAAAGCCAATGAGAGCAGGTAAGCACACCTGCCTGAGCATGGCACAATAATACCTGCCCACCAATGGGGAGCCTCCCAGGATGCATTGGGGCCTCCACCCCAGCGCTACTCATTGCTCCAACCGAGTGCACTCCTATGCCAGGTGTTTTCTTTGCCCTCTCCTGATTCAATAGCAATATAACAAATAATTTGGGTTTTTTTTCTTCTGGTTTTTTTCCCGCTTGTTGGAGACAGTATCTGAATCACTCTGGTTGGATTCTTTTGGTGGCTGAGTGCGCGCACACGCTAGACCAGCAACTGAGAGGCCTCACTGGCAGACACAAAGTGCAACTCCTCAGAACCTACATGTGTACATGTACAAGTATACCGCTTGGGTTCAAGTGTACCTGTGTTTTCATTCAAAATAACGAACGCACACAAGAACCATACAGGCTATTTTGCCCCAGGAACCACGCCAGGCGTGGGAAATTTGCCACAATGAAAGGGTCACTGAGAATAGGAGGAGGGGGAATATCCGGGACCTTTCCAGTCTTTTCAGATTTGGTTTCATCAGGACAGCTACCGGTATATGGTCATTCATCATCTTTTGATAGGTTTACAAAAATGCTCACAGCATGTGAATGTGAATTTGACGCCCTTACAATTTCTTGGACTTTTTGGGTCATTCCAACAAGTTTACCCTCTTATCCAGTCTTATTATCGGAGGAAGGATAACTCTTTTTAAGTG